TATCCAATATTATTACACTTGTTGCCATTACACCATCTTGGCAATTTTATAGTTGCACTCAGTAGTTTTTACAATTCTAAGACACTTCTGCAATAGCCTTTCTGGCACAAATTACGTATAAGCGAGATATTTAAAATTGTATTACGTATGTTCGTATGTGGCGGTACACACCCAGAACATCGAATGACATGGTGGTACACACAGAAAACATCGAACTATGCATATCCCCAGTTAGATTAGCTTGGTTAAGGTTTGGGGTTAATATTTGTCCATTGGCTGTCCGCATGTTTCCAATTCTCAATATTATAGACACAAAAACTATAAAAACCAAACATACGATTCATATCTTTTCTTGTGCAAATCAGTATTAACGGAGTACTGTATCTCACAAATTTAAAGGTGTAAATTTCTGTACCGCCATGTTGCCAGAGTCACTTTTCTCGCCCTATCCTCCTCCTCTTTGTGACATGACAACCAATGATCTTCAGGTATTGTGTCATGTGACTTGGCTTGGCTGGTACACTTATGGTTCGAGACAAAAGAATTTCTTTTCTTAAAAGTAAACAATTTCCACACATAGGACACAGTCTTCATGTTGGTGAGTCACCGTGATCTTGTAATATTTGGATTGCTTCACTATTGTTCTGATAAACTCTCTGAATAACAGCCTTCAAAATGGCCCAGCTCTATCCTCCACCACAGTAACAAGTAGCCTCCAAAAAATAGTTAGGTTAGATTAAGTTACGTTTATGGTGTTTTATGGTGTGTTATACTGAAGCCTTACTGCCAGTTTCATACAAATTAGTGGTTTCTGTTACAAAAGAAAAAGTTATTTTTCCAAGCCAATAATTTGCACCAGATATGAAGGTCAGACTCGAGTAATACAAAAAACGGTATGGTTGTATTTTCACACCCCACATTCCTACCACTAATCTATTATCATATTCTATTAAGACGTCTAATTATAAGATAACTTTCATCGATTACATTACCGTCGCAAATGTATAATTACGGAGTTAGTTTATCCAAAATTTTCTCCATTTTCTTCCATTAATCTTCTGCCATTATCGCCTACCCGTCCTCCCCTCTGCGTGTTCCCTTCATAAATCCTCAAGCTCATGCGTTCCCGTACACGTCACGCGGCCACTCAAAGCCTTTTTTTTTTTTTTTTTGCAACCAATTAAAATGATTTGTGGTTTAATTTGTGTTATTTTTGGCCCAAGCAAATTTGATTTTGGGTCTCATATTTCGAAATTCAAATTAATTTCCGACCATGGAAGTCTACTATGGGTGTCACTTCATTGCGAGTTTTGGGGAAAAAACCGAAGAAACTACAGCATTTTTAGATCTCATGGTGTTCTCCCGACCTCAGTAAAGTTTCCTAAGTGCAAGAACGAGTGTAAATGTCGACAAGACCAACATATGTGGCAACTCCAACGACGAACCAGAACCAGGCCAATAAGTTAAGAAATAAGTGATTCCATCATATGGTGAGAGTCAGTTAAGTTAGGTTAGGTTAGGTCAGGTCAGGTTTATGTTTTTCTATTTTTTTTTGTATTCGCTTAACCATTATTTTTTCGGAAAACGCCCCACCCACAAAAAAAAAAAAAACGAAAAAAACCCGACCAATTTCCGACGGAAACGAAGGTTATAACCGATCTAAACACAAATAAATACAATAAAAAATATATTTTTTACTTTCTAACAGTTACATAAGAACATAAGAAAATAAGGAGTCTGCAATAGGCCGGTTGGCCTGTGCATGGCAGCTCCTGCCGAGAGTTACTACCACTCTCTATCATCCATGAATCTATCCAGCCTCCCTTTGAAACTTTCCAGCGCTCCCGCACTTACTACAAAGTTGCTGAGCTTGTTCCACTCGTCCACCACCCTATTTGTGAACCAGTTTCTTCCTATCTCCCTCCTAAACCTAAACTTATCCAACTTGAATCCGTTGCTCCGAATTCCTATCCTGCTCGGATATTATAAGAACTTTATCTATAGCCCCTTTATTGATTCCTTTCACCCACTTAAATACTTCTATCATATCTCCCCGCACCCTTCGTCTTTCTAGGGAATGCAAGTTAAGTTTCTTTAGCCTATCCTGATATGGAAGGTTTCTAAGTCCCGGAATCATTTTTGTCAATCTTCGCTGCACCGACTCTAGTGAATTTATGTCCATTCTATAATAGGGGCACCAGAACTGAACCGCATAATCGAGGTGCGGCCTGACTAGCGCAAGATATAGTTGCAATAAGACCAGTTGGGTGCAAATACAAATTTACCCCAAAAACTATTTTGTATCAAAACCTGAGGACAGCCAATGGATGAATATTTACCAGGCTTTGTTTTACTGATGGTTTTCGATGTGTTTTGAATAATTTTTGCCTTTATTTATTCATAAAAAATCTATAGATTCTGAGGACGGGGAGTTTATCTCAGAAACTATTAATTTGCACAAGAAATGAAGGTCAAATTCTTCCATAACACAGCAAAAACCGCCAGGAAATCTGTTTCAACTTCGATTTCATATATTGTACACGTATTGGCAAAAAGTAAAATTTTACCAAGTATCCACTGCTTAAATAATATGGGTTTCTAAAACCATGTTTAACTGCAGCAGGTGAGAAAGAAGGACAGTGGTACAAGTTAACCCGCTACACCAAAAAGTTATCTGGGTTAAGATTCAGTTTAGACCAACCAAGGAACGGTCCGACTAATTACCCAAATATAGCCGGAATGAAGTCAAATAATGGTCCTAGATGAATAAATCGGACTGCTAATCACTTCTCGACTAGTATTTGGTGTCATAAAGTAAAAAAAAAATTGGTAAACTTAATTTAATCTGAGTTGTGTTGGGTTAGGTTAGGTTAGGTTAGATTAGGTTAGATTAGGTACATGCACTCGATCCATTAACTCAGATTAAATTAAGTTTACCAACTTTTTGTTACTTCGTGACACCAAATACTAATCGAGAAGTGATTGGCAGTCCGATTTATTCATCTAGGACCATTATTTGACTTCATTCCGGCTACATTTGGGTACATTTGGGTAATTAGTCGGACCCCCCAATGAACTCTATACTGTACTGTACAACCAGGCAGCCGGGTTGTCTCTAGGGGCCACTTTACCCTGTTCATCGGTGATCCTGTCTTGTAGGAATGTTTCTTGATCAACTATCACGTATATATACAGCCTAGGAATCAACTGTGAAGCTTGACAACCCTGGAGTGGATTATAACCTTTGACTGTTGTTAACTAAGTGAGTGTGAGCAGACAAACACAACGCGACAACCTTCAAGGCCTCCTCAATATAAACAACTATTATATCTTATACAACACACATTCACATAATTATTAATGTAAAATAATTAATAAATAAATAATAAATGTACATAGATATCGCTAAGCATATTGTTATAAGTATTGCGTTAAAAAAAATATAGTAAGTAAATTTATGGAAAAGCACCGTTCTTTCTCTGGCTCGGCTCGTTAGCCACTTGGAGGATCGGTTACGTGTCTGTTACGCACTGTTGGCAAGTACTGGACATGCACCAGCTCCTGAAAGTATCTGAACCTGCTCCAGTGCCGACTTCCACCAAACCACTCCTGCCGTTCGTCACGACTTACTCAAAAGCTACGACAAGCAGTTTCTGCATTCAGAGCTACTGCTCCACGCCAGCCTCCTCGGCTCCCTGAATCCATCCTTCCTGCACTACTCACAGCCGAGTATGTTTTCGTCAGGCATGTGTCTCACAGCAACCCACTACAACGCCCCTACGATGGACCCTTCCTGGTTGTTACCCGTTCAGCGAAGTTCCTGACGATTATCCGGAATGGCAGACACGACACCGTCAGCATAGACCGAGCCAAGCCGGCCACCTTACCCGTTGGGCCCCCGGCCCAGCAGCACCACCAACAATCTACGCCTGCACCAGCCTACCCTCAGTTACCACCGGCAGCAAAACCCCGCCCACGACATTTCTGGGCACCCCCTGCTCCTGTCCTGCACCCTGCTGCTGTCGTAGAACCTGCTCTTATCGTGGACCCCCCTCCTGTCATAGACCCTGCTGCTGTCAGGGACCCTCCTCCTGTCATAGACCCTGCTGCTGTCAGGGACCCTCCTCCTGTCGTGGCCCCTGCCCATGACCCAGTCAACCCAGCCAGTGACCCTGAGGACGCTGCCCCTGCCGCGACAGAAGCACAACAACCATTGCTTGTACAACCTCCGCTAATCCAAAACCGTCCTTCTCCTCCTTATTCTCCCACAGGTTTTGTGTCACTAGACGGAGTTGTCACCCACAGCGGCTGAGTCGTTCGTACACCTGCCCGGTATGTATCACTTGTGGGACGCAACCTTGCCAACATCTAGTCTCCCGCTGCGCCGGGGGAGGGGATCCTCTCCCCTGCAACCTCCAACTGAGCCCTGGCCGTGCGCCTACCAGCCAATCAGCCAGCTACGCCGAGAGACTAGGTCTATAGAGCGGACGTAGGGGTACGATCACCGACCTAGTCTCGACCTTCCACCTCCAGCTCAGTTTCACACTTTACGCATTCTCTCCCATGATTGGCTCTCGAGCGCCTCGAATTCTGATGCTCCAGAATCACATAAATACGGACCGGCTGGCCTCCTGCTCCTTCCTCTTGTCATCTTCCCCGGTGCATGTCCAGTACTTGCCAACAGTGCGTAACAGAGACGTGACCGATCGCCCAAGCGGCTAACGAGCCGATCAGTAGTGAAGAGGATAAAAGTAAAAATTAAGTAAAAGTATAGGACATTGTTTGTTTAGAATACAGGCACTTGTCCCGCTATTCTCAGTTTTTCTTGTTTAAGATCTTTGTCAATTATTCCTGATTTTTCTTTGGATAAAATTAGTGTACATATCTTCTTGTATGACAAATGTTCTACTGCACAGTAGGTGCAAACTGGATAAAAACAGTAAACTGTATATATATGCAAACATATTTATTTGAGTTTGTACAGTAGTAACATAGCCCTTATGAAAAATTAGCACATAATGGAACAATTTCATAATGTCAGTAAAAAGATAAATTGTTAACTGTTGGAAATGAAAAAAATAAATAAATAAATACAGTTTGTACTTTACTGAGGAATATTCTATGATATTGTACATGATAAAGGACTCCATATTTTTTATTCAACTTACTAATGTGAAATAAGTAAATAGTAAATAAAATAGCAAACAAATTATATATGTTTATTTAGACATTTCAATTTTTCATCCAAAGGAATAAGTTCCTTCCTTTGCTTTTCTTCCTGAAAAAGTAACTTCGTCCTGTGATTTTCTTCTTGTAAAAGTAACTCCTTCTTTAGTTTTTCTTCTTCTAATTTAGCACATCTGATTTTCAAATCATAATATTTTTGAGATAATTTTTCTATTCTAATCTTATGATGTAGCAGTTGTACATCTAGCTCACAAGACTTCTCAACATTCCTTGCTGCCACTTTCTTGGGAGTCTGATACTGGTGTCTGTAAGTTTCATGCCTGTTATTACACCCTGAGTAAGGTCTTGATACCCCATTTTCAGGGCTGAGACTTGAATGTGGCCTGGAGTTATATAAGTTGGATGAAGTCTCTTCTCTGCTATTCAATATTTCCCCCATGTCATCCTCGACTGTTTCACAATTCTGTGTGATCACAGCATCATCTTGAATTGTCCCAAGGATTACCTCTGCTTGAGCTGCAACACATTTTACAATATTTTATTAATTAAGCAAAAAAAATCAGTATTTCCTTGACGTTTGTTATTAAGAGTAAAATTTGAATACGACTTTTGTATGGTAGCTTATGAAGGATGGATCATTAAATTAACTATGCCATGTGACTGACTAGAAAAGGGCTTGTCATCGCGATCGATGAGTTGGCCACCCCTGGCCAAGGTGATATCTATATTTGACAAGATAAATTTATTTGATAAAGTAATTTCAACTGGATAAATATAGCATTCAGTATACAGTATACACTTGTCAGGAGATCCCAGTGTAAGTAATTCCATACAAAAGAGGATAAGTCAATTTTGCCCTTATTTGTGGCTGTGCAAACATTTTTATTGTACATCTATGATAACATGGGATGAAAAATGATAACATACCAAGTGGCAGCGGTTCATCGTTCCCAATGTCAGTGTCTATTGGCTGGTACATCTTTGGTGGCAAAACTGCCGGAGTGTCCTCTACTGCCTGACTGGCTGGAGGACCACCACCAGTTTTCACATGAGATCGTCTTTCACTGTAATACACAAATAACATCTTTAACGTCAAAGTTAGAATAACTAAATATTACTAAGGAAAACAATGGAGATAATGAAGGCTAATTACCCAATATATTTATTTTACTGATGCCAATATACAGTAGTATTTAATTGTTTATAAATATTGGTGGTATTAACAGTGTTAGTTTTCACTTTTGTATGCTAGTAATCCCCATAAGGTGTTGTAATAGTTGCAAGTAATGATGAATCATCAAAAGTAAAAAAAAAAAAAAAAAATGTCTTTACATGATCACATGGGATTCATGTCCACAATGTATTCACATACAGTACTGTATCTGAACAGGAATACAGTATTCCAGAAATCAATACAGTCAACCCTCACTTTATGCGGTCTCACACTCCGCGTTTCCACGTTTACACGGTGCCCTGCCAGAACCCAGGATGCTCACATTCCGTGGTGGGTGTACCCCTTTACACGGGTGAAGTATAATTTTTTATTTAGCTCATAAAATTCATACAAATTATCCGGCCAGAATATAATTTACATTGCTGGAATTCTTACAATTTGATGATCATTTTGAATATAAACATCATAGATTTTGCATTAGACATACAAATTTTAGATATAATGTTTACTCTGAGTAAATATGTTATCTTTTGTGCAAAATATATGACATTTGTATTCAAAATATTCCTGGTCTTACAAGGAATCCAGCGATGTCAATTATATTATCCTAACTTTAGTTTGAGGTATTATTTATTACTATACCTGGTTTTCCCCAAAAAATTTCTCAGAGAGGGAAGAGCCAGGAGTGTAGTGTGAGAAGAGGGGGAGGGAGTTGAGTCCATTATTTGAATGGACATTAACTTGGCGACTGTATTTCTCTTAAGTATTAATTGTGTGCATGTACCATCATAAAATTAAGATGTTATTTTTACTAGAACATAGGTATTGTGTTGGAAAAAGTGGAGTTTGGAGGTCAGCTGGTCTCTATTTCATTTAATCCCATATGTTATGTTATTCACTTTATGCGTTTCTCACTTTCCGCGGTACCCTGTGGGTTACATTAACCGCGTAAAGTGAGGGTTGACTGTACTTCTAATTCTCTCAAAAATGCCACAATACAAAAATAATTAAATTTGAAATGGTAAAACAAAAAGTAACAGTGACTAGTTAAGGACATAATGAAATCAGTGTTTCTGATAATTTCTCTTTGGTGATAGTCAAGGAGAAGCACACATTGAAGTGCCAGACTTTGTCTATGGTATTTTCACTTTAAATCTCACTTTTCAAAAGAACAATGAATTATGAAGAAAAAAGTCATAGAACAGTTTATGGGAAGGCCTGCAGCCTCAACACCCCTGATACTCTTGACAGGTACATACATTAGGGTAAGATAGAGCATGCAAAAGTTTCATTTTTTAACATGAATTCTCTTAATAAATACTGTACCAGGTAGTTGTTAATATTTTGCTGTTCCCAATGCATTGTTGTATCACTCATCATTGTAAGCCTCTATTCTTGTACTATATAAAATTTTTCGTATCTTTAGTCATGTGAGAACAAGTAATTCACAGTAAGTCCTCGCTTAACGTCATGGTTCCGTTCCTGAAAACCGCGACGTTAACGGAATCAATTTTTCTCATAAGAAATAGATAAAAGACGGGAGTTATGTTCCTGAGCCTCCCTTTGCCCCATGAAATACATTACATATACAGAAATTCAATGGTATTATTATAGAAAATAGTGGATATATATATATATATATATATATATATATATATATATATATATATATATATATATATATATATATATATATATATATATATATATATATATATATATATATATATATATATATATATATATATATATATATATATATATATATATATATATATATATATATATATGTATATATATATATATAAAGTAAACAATTTTGTAATGTACTCACTGATGGACGGAGGTGGTGGAGCGAGTGTGTGGTAGGTAGTGGAGCGAAGGAGGACAGGAGGAGGGCGGCGAGTCACTGAGATCCGGCGGGTGCCTCTTCCTCCCGCTCTGACTGGGGTTCCTCGGCTGCTGGTTGCTCCTCCTCCCTTGCAGGCTGTTGTAAAGATGTTGCTTCTCCCTCCCGGAGACAAAAATAAGAATCCAGCGTTGACTGCTTAGTGCTCTTCTTCTTTTTCTCCTTGTAGATCTCATTATAACACCGAAGATTTTCCTCCACGTTGCGGACAATCTTTGAGCTACGTTCTCTGTTTGGGTCGTCTTCAGTGAAGATTTGCATACCTTGCTGGATCATGTCGGACGCTTCTGCCATCCTCTTGGTAGTTAGCGTTCGCTAAGGTTCTTCTTCATCTTCATCTTCAACAGGACTGTGTTCTGTTAGTTGTTGCAGATCTCCATTAGTTAGCTCTTCTGTATGGGATGCCAGAACGTCCTCAATATCCTCAAACTCCAACTCCTGAAAGCCTGCCTGTCTAGCCAAGCTGAGGATATCCCTATTCACAGGTGGGACTAAGGGCCGTATTTCTAGTTCCTCTGAAGCACGATGCAGATTGATAGTGTTCGTGCAGGTGTATTACTAGTCATCCCGATGAACGAGGTATCGGAAGTGTTACGCCGTCTCTTAATTTACTTAAATATCCAGGTTCTAGGCGTAACCAAACAAAAAGTGAAGTAAATTAAAAGAATAAAAATAAATAAAGTAAACCTTTAAGAATTTAATTGATTAAATATTAACACAATAAAGAGCCTCGTAGGCTGTCACAACAAATTGATTCACCATCGAAACTTTTAAGACAAGTGATACAAAACATCGAAAGAATAATAATAAAGCATTGGATTACGTTAACACTACATAAACATATAAAAACTAACACTGAAATTAACTAACGTGAAAGAACACTGAATTACTTAAATGTATCTCAGCGACAGGAACAACACAAATAAATTAGGTATAAGTAACAGGTGACGAGTGTCACTCAAAGGATGTGGACTGTATGACAAGAGGACTGAACTGACTCAAGTCAGTTGGTGGGTCCTATATATAAGGTCAGCTCCCGCCACGCGACCCGCCGGTGGGTCGTTTAACGATGCAGATGGTCGTTAGAGAACAAAGAATGCTGGTTACAATACAAAATAAAGAAATAAGATGGGCTTGAACAAATAATGACAGTTAAAACCTTAACAGCACAGGGTAAGGTGACTAGAATATATAATAGTAAATTTAACACATCATTACAGGAATAATATGGAACATGTTATATATAAAAAAAAATAGAAAAAATACGACACGGTCGTAACAGAAGGTAAAAGTGCGCATACCCCTATACTGTTGGAACCATCATCAGGTGCCCACCCCCTACCTACGGCTGCCTTACGACGAATAATAATCATCATTATATTTTATGAAAGTTCTTCCAGTACTTTATTACAGATGTCTACATTGAGTGATATTATTTCTTTTTGATAAATACAATTAAAGGAAGTGGTAATGAGGATACGGCAACTTTCACAACACTGTTATGAACATTAAACATTATTGGAATGTTGACATCGCGGCTCCTACTCGCTGACGACTGCTGAGCCTCATCTTAAATTAACACTTCTGTCTATTATAATTTAAGGAATGTTTCTTATCTCTATTCATTCATACAATATTTTTTCCGTCGTAGTAATAAATTTTCAACCATCTGAACCACGAAATTCACTTATTTTTTTCGGAATGAGGCAAGCCAAGTGAGCTCACTCTATCTTGAGTTAGCAAGGAAAATATCACAGGGGTGGCCCAGCAATATAGTTTTTTATAAACTTTAATATTTATTTTCAACAAGATATAAGCTATGGTTTACGATCTACAATGTCTGTGTGTGTCAGGCAGCAGTAGGCCAACAGAAGTAAGCAGAAGATTTATTTTCCTTTATTCTTTCACAGAAATATATACTGTCAATAATTATATAAAGATTAAGTACTGCTTACTATCAATACAAACATAAAGAATTAGTACTGCTTACTATCCATACAAATAATTGGCTCTAAAATTCTGCAATACCATACAATACGAGGCTCCATCACAGTTTTAATGATACAAGCAACATCAGATACACTGCTCTCTTTTGCTAAAATAAAAATCTCTATTTGCTTTTAAGTTTTACAAACGTTATTTACATTAACCGAAGTATAGTATAACTACATTTTCGAGATAAATTCTAAACAAACTCAGAAAAGCACACAACAGTCGACAGTAAGGGAGTGACAATTAACAATACTTGTCACAAAAACAGCACATGGGTTGGACATTTGTCAACCTGAAGCAGTTTTGATCTGTAGAAGTTTCTATGTTACTTAAAGTGTGTACAACACAAGGCAGGGGCCCCCACTGCCCTGGCATGAGAGAGCAGTTTAACTTTGCCATCTGTATGATGGTATTCAATCAACAACAATTACAGATTTCTATAGTTCTTGTCTTAGTTTTGATATAACAGACTCTGTCTTTTTTTAAAAATAGAGATGCATCTTTCACTTAAGGAATTAAATGCCACTGTAATTATAAGTAGTCATGGGTTAAGGAAAAGTGTGACTGCCCCTTGATCTCTTGGAAAAAAGAAATAAGGAAACAAATGGTTTAAATTAATTTTCGCTTTTCCATTTGTGCAGATATTGCAGTCAACATTTTGCTGTTCGTTGGTTCATAAATCATATGGTTTAAATTTTATTACAAAATTTCAATTAAGAAATAAATTAATGTATAGTCAATATTCAATATTATGCTGCAAGAATAAAAAATAAAATGATAATGTTATGACTCCAGCATGCAGAACTACAGACAACACCTTGATGACTTAGAAGAAATAAGGATGTTAAGTCAGCTTGATGATAAGAGGAAGCGATGATTTAAGTTTAGACGAGATCCTTTTGAGTATTATAATGAAGAGGAATTTATTCTGCGCTACATATTATCAAAGGAGAGCACCAGGCAGCTGCTTCCAAAAAATCAAACATTGTCTCCCAATGTCACTAAGCCATAGAGGTAGTCGAATATTTATGATTTTAATACAGTATAGTAGTGCGAATCAGATGCTTGAGGAACAGCATGATAAGTGTAATGATCATGAAATATAAAGTAGGTTTTTAGTGAGAGGGGGATTATGTTCAATCTAAAATACAGTACTGTACAGCATAAATTTCTGCCGTGAGTGCTAAATCCTTAAGACATTACGAGTAATATTATATTATCTTTTCTTTTGTCTCTTTCCTTTCAGGCATTCCAATTCCTCTAGGTTTACAGCTACTGGTTGCCATGAGATACATGGCTACAGGAATTTTTAAATAACTCTGGGAGACTGT